GTCTGTACAGTATAAAAAATTCACCATAGCCATTTATTCACCTTGAAATCACTGTAACTTCCACCATGATGACTTAACTACGGTAGTGTTTATATAAAGATCTGTTCTACTTTTTTTCACAATGACAAAACTGAAGAGAATAATGGACACGTTTAACACTATTCTATATTATCATTAATGTTTCAATAACCTCTAATCACCGTGTATTCGTGCAAGAAGAAACATAAAAAAAGTGTCACACAGGTTGCATACGAGTCATGAAATAAAGCAGTTAGGACGTGGACACTACTCAAGGTACTGTACTCGACGTAACCAGTACCAAACACCCCGGGTGGAGAAAGAACATAGGAACAACTTGGTAAGCTATACTACGTCCCTTCACATTCAGTTGCCAAAGGTTGTTAATTTATTTATTCTTATCCCTGATGTTACGAGCTACGATTTGAAGTGAAGAAGAGTTGATAGTTGGGGATTTTTTCTTTACTTATTAGGTATTGGGAAAAAATGGATACTGAAATCTTGTATGACAGTAACGACAATATTAAAGAGGGAATAACTGTGAATCTATTAAGTCGAAGGGAAAAAATAAGTTAGAGAACCTTCGTATTCACCTCCTGTAAATTTACATATGTTGTGACGACTCAAAAACGAACCCTGTAAAACACTGGCCGGGTTCACCCACCATAATCCAACACAACGGAACCCAAGTATTCCCCCCGGCAACGTATCTCCAAGGTGACCCCCAGCAAACCCCTGCAGGGGAACCTAAACAACACCCAAGGACACCTATAGGCAGCCCTGGGGTAATACGGTTCCCCAAGGAACCTCAAAACCGCCTGTGTCAAGAAGGAAGTCGTTACTCAGCACAGCCACGACCACATAACACCCCTCCTCCTCTACACGACACCACCAGTACTGCTCCACCACCACCACACACGGCCCTTAAGGTAAAGTGAATCAATTATAATAAAAACATCAATAAATACAGAAGTAATATAATAAAATATATAATAACATAATAATACAATCATAATCACTACATGAACAATATATAATGAGCCATAACCATCTACACTACACATAGACTAGGTTATAGACAGCAGGTGCCGGAGTGTAGTGGTAAAATGTCGACCCAGTACCCGCAATGGTGAAGAACCTGCCCAAAGAGTCACCCTTCCATCCCGTGGCGTTTTGTGCCACGGACCCGCCAGACGAGTCTTCGCGAGGGTCTTACTATTTTTCACTTTCTCCGTCGCACCATTCCCTCTCGGGGGTTTCTCATTAAACACCACACACCATCACCTCAGCCATAGTAATAAAAATGACACTTACGTTTGTCAATATTCTAAAGCCCTTCCTGCATTATACCCTCTGTGTATATACAGAACGTAACTAACTGCGATGAAATGATGCTGGGATAAGAAACTTACCATTCAAGTTGTATAAATCAAATACAGTAGTAAGTTATTAACACACATTAAAATTATATTAGTTTCAACGTGACAGATCATTCTTAACATTCTAGCCCCTTCTTTAATGGTAATATTAAACATGATTAATGACCACTCAAATGCAACCATAACTCGGTTCCTACCTAAAACATTCATTCACAAGTTTATAAAAAAAAGAGAATGAAACAAGAGGAGTTATGTATCGTATTAATAACATTTTGGACTACAGACACACCCACAGACATCAGGATGACAAACCCTTAATCGTAAACACCCTAAATTAAAAACAAAATAATATAAATCCTTAAGAAAGGTTCAACAGCAACGGCATCGCAACCACACTGTCCAAACTTGTAACTTAAAAACAACATATCTTTCCACGTTAACGCATGATCACAACATACGAACAGATGTGGTTCTATGGACGTCAAGAAAACGCCTAAATCAACCACAATATCCAGATACACTCGCAAATATACCTGAGTGTACCCATGTGTGTGTGTGGGTATACCAGTGGTACAGGTCGATGGGAACGTTGGTAACAGCCAAAGAGGAAGAGGGAGGGAAGGAAGGTCGGGTCGGGTCGGGTCTGGTCTGGTCGGGTCGTCCTAACTTACCCGCCTAGCTCACACAATACCACCAACACGACAGGGACGCCACATCAGAGATAATCCCTACGTGTTCACATCATTACCGGCAGTGTAGGAATTCTAATAGTTACTCTTCTCTTCTCTGGACAGCTCATGCCACGGCGGTCTGGATGAGGAGGCGATGTAATGAAGGAGTGGAGGAGGAAGAGGAGATGTAATGAAGGAGTGGAGGAGGAAGAAGAGATGTAATGAAGGAGTGGAGGAGGAAGAGGAGATGTAATGAAGGAGTGGAGGAGGAAGAGGAGATGTAATGAAGGAGTGGAGGAGGAAGAGGAGATGTAATGAAGGAGTGGAGGAGGAAGAGGAGATGTAATGAAGGAGAGGAGGAAGAGGAGATGTAATGAAGGAGAGGAGGAAGAGGAGATGTAATGAAGCAGTGGAGGAAGGAGGAAGAGGAGGAAGGTAGAGCAAAAAGAAGAAAAAATTGTGGGAGATAAGGAGAGGAACAGCAAAGACGATATGAGAGCAAGAGGATAAAAAAAATAAAACGAAGAGTAAGAATTAAAAGGAAGAAATCTAGAGGAAAATTTGAAGAAAAAAAACCCAGCATAAATGGACAAGGGGAAGAAGAATTATTTTTTTGTTATAATAAAGGAAATAAAGGTAGGGCGTCGTCTAGGGTAATAACAGATGACAGTTACTGCAGCCTCCAAATGCATGAATTAGTAGGTTCAGCATCAACAAGCTCAAATATGGTATACTCCTTTATTAACATCTTACTTCGACTAACAGCTAACAACACCAAGAATGTCTGCAGTTCCTTTCAAAATTATCACAGAAACAGTTATTATTTATGGTTAGAAGTCACAGATTTTTTTTTTTTTTAGTAAATATTCGGAAATTTCTCAAGTGGCTTTTTGTTACAATTATATTTGTGTCCACTGAAACAAGGGTAACAAAGAACGGCAATTACCTGTCTTACGCCACACTTGTACATGAGTCCCTCGCACACAATAACAATTTTCAGATAGCAGAGACGAAAATCAGGCTGACCAACGCATCCCAAACCATAGACAGTGCGGTATTTACTAGTTTTATAAATAATTTTAATTACATTTAACTGCATGTCCCCAAAATTACTCGTACAAAATGAGATATTAAAACAAAAATCAAGCAAGCAGGAAACAGACAGATAGACATTAGACAGTAAAATATACTGTATATACTGTACAGACGACTGGCGACGGCGTCAACAAGCAGCAACTCTGACATCACACACAGCCTGGCCTTTAAATGCCACAAGAAACTTGCTGCCAAACCATGGGAAAACTGCACCAGCCTGACTCTCAACCTCACCTGCTCCGACAAAAACACAGGACAACTTAAACAGTGATGAAATGCCACCATCTGTAGACCTCACTGGGCTAGGGGCACATCTGAGCACTGCCAATCGACCCCAAATTACCTACAGCATAAGAGGTCAGACTAAGGCTGACAATATGAGGAGAGCTGCCTTTAAATGAGACTAAATTTACTCGATCTGTAACAAGGACACAAGCGTTATGTGGAGTAATTCAACTAACATTGACGCCACACGAAGATCATCAACAAACACCCATCACAAAAACACAAGAGCCTATTCAGCAACGAAAGATCATAAACTACTCAACGTATACATGAAGTACTATATGTGATCCTTGAGCTGAGATATCATTATCCTACCATGGTAAACTGACATCAGGGGCTGACACATGAGTCTGGGGGGAGGCACTAGACTTTCATTAACAATAGGATGGAGACTAAATCAAGCTGCGGTAGTGGTGTCAAGGTGCTCCACCGGGTGTGGAGGAGAATCAAGTTGGGAGTGCTTTGTGATACAACAAGCTGCCTTACTAAGACTTAAGGGTAGCAACCCACAGGAAGTGTAAGCCAGACACACATACGGACAGGGAGTTGGACAAGCATTTCATTGTTTAAAAATAAATTCTGGGAGGTTGCCACACAAGCACAGCGAGGGGAAGAACACATACACGGGCATCATCGGTAATGCACCCAGAGAGATAAGTGCGACCGCACACATGGAACAAGAAGGTTTAGCATAAAAGGCGATAGGAAATTATGCAGAAGGCATATAGGGAGATGGGTAGAAGAACATACTTAGGGGCAGGTAGGTCATATAATGAGGCAATAAGACGGGCATACAAGGTGGGAAGCATAAAGGTAATGGAAGATAGACAGGCTGGCGTTCAAGGATGAAAATACGAAGGTTTAAAATTGAGGTAAAATCAGAAAGGCAGACTCGTGTGTGTGTCCAAACTGGAGGGTGCTAAAGCTTTCACTTTCAACAACAAGTCTCCTCGCGCCCTCAACACTACCTGCACCGCCGGGGTCAAGGGAGCCTCGACCCCCCATCCTCTCCCTCACGCATCCTCCCTTACCCTCTTCTACACCTATGCTCCTCTTCCTTACACCCTATTTCCTCTCCTACCTTACACTATCTTTGGCCATTTCTTCTAATTTCTCCCCAACTCTCCATCCTCACACCGTTCTTTCAACTATTCCCCATCCCAACTAACACATCTAATTCGTAATTCTCAACCCCTCACCACTGTTCTACAGGTGCAACACTTGAAGAAGGTACAGAGGGGTTTTTTCCCTTTAGTGTCTTCCGGTGATTTTTAAAGTATCGCGCCTCTCGTGACCCATTCAGCTATTGCACGCCACTGACGAGTCGTGACACCAACCCACATTCGTTCTAACTTATGATGATTAACCTATGACCAATGTAACAGAGTTCCCGAACTTTTAAAAACTCTTGAATGAATATAAAAGATTAATCCATAATGTCGGTGTAAAACTAGAAATTTAGACAAACACAAAGTATTAACTTCAATGTCCAAAATATTAAGACAGAAGTGTAAAATATACAGTGAGCGTGTGTGCATAGGACTGTACTTACCTTTAGGATAGTCCTCCAGGAGAAGGTGTAGGTGGCCAAGCTTGCAGTAGGTCCTTGGTTCGATACTGATATTTGCCTCACTGGTATTGTGAGTGGTGGAGGAGGCATTGTTCTTGTTGGTGTCATCGTCACCTTCCTGTGAGATGGCATCCAACAGAGTGGTATCCGAGGGAGGGTTGCCGGAGGAGGTGGTGGTGGTAGTGGTCGTGGTGGAGAGGTCCGGCTCCGTCTTAATGATATCGGAAGGGGAAAGAGAACACCTTTTGGAGTCGATCTCCGTGTTGCCTTCATTATTGTTGTTATTATTATTATTGTTGTTGTTGTTGTTGTTTCTGTTGTTATTGGCGTGGATAATAAGAGACTCGAGGTAGCGCACCGCCTTCAGCACCAGCGCCCGCTTCTTGCTGTTGGCCGGATCGTTGAGCTTGACGAACCCAAACTTGCGGCTGTATGGGAGAGTGCAAACACAAACGCCCATTAGTTCAATCATCATTATAATATAACACGTACAATATAATAATCAAACACACATGGAAATAACACACTACCAGATTTTTAACACATACTACCACAATAACATGTACAGTACAGTAGTTCACGGTACACGGACAACCGCACCTCGCTCCCCCTCTACATGCAAACAGCCAAACCCATCACAGTCCTACCTAATTAAAAACATAATCTTAATCTAAATTTACAATCACTTCAAGATTAGACATAAGGATAAACTTGTATGATGATGAAACAATAATATGCTGGTGTTAACATTTATCCGGAATTGTGTTTCTGAGGGGTAGGCAGCCGAGAGGATACTGCGTTCGCCTCCTATTCTAAAGGTTGTTGGTTCGACCCCGGGGCACACTTGCATTCCACCCAGTTCGAGATGTGTAGGCATGTGAGTGCAGTACCGGCCAAATTTCCACCTTTTGTACTGAATGCTTAGTGTACCGTACAGGATATTGTTCTGTATCCACAATGCCCCTAACGGGTCATTTATAGGCCTATGGAACCCATGTTTAGTGTTTCTTTACTGTAACAAAACATGGCGGCTACCATCATTACTTTAATACTTACATTTTCTCAAGTTTATTATTAATATTATTATTATTATTATTATTATTATTATTAAAGGTTATATTACATTAGTCTTACAGCCCCAATTATTAATACAGTACCAGTGTTATATATTACGGTATATAATATGTGAGAGATAAAATAATATTAATTAATAAAGCATATTCATAAAATAAGTAAAGCGCAATGCTTTGGCTTCAATATAACTGGAAAACACACGCAACTCTACACTAGGACACAGCCACAGTCGGTAACCAGATAAGAAATGTGAAGAAAAAAATTCCTGAATAAATTTGCCTTTGTACTCAACATTTTTATATCATTTTCTTCAGTAAGTTATGTTTTAACTGGGAATATTTCCAAGCAAATAATAATAAAAAAAAAATAATAATAATAAAATAATAATAATAATAATAATAATAATAATAATAATAATAATAATTATAATACACTTAAGAGAAAACGATGTGCGAGTGACTCCTGGACAAATTTTCATTCGGTCAGTACAAATCAAATACTGCTTCAGTGTTGATGACCGACAACAAATTATATATATTTATGAATGAATAAGTGATTGAATTAAATAATCATCTAGCTAGCTACACAAATAGTGGAACCGAAAAAAGTTATTTAAATTACTAAGCTATACTGTACAATGCTTTCAAGTCAGCAAAATATCCTACCATCAACACTACCGTAATGAGGAGGACTGAATACTAAGGTCTATATTTACTGGAACATTAGACCTGTTAGAAGTAATGTACAATAAACAAATACAAGGACGTGCGAGCCTTCATCTACACACAAAAGTAGCTCCATACTAGAATGTGTGGAATGTGTATAGACCAAGAGAATATGAGAAACATCACACAAAACAGTAGATGTTTTTCAAGAATATAACCTGATGTGTTCTTCAGAGTACATGTATAAAAGGACTGTAGTCATTATAGAGCCTTGCAATTTGTCGGCTGCAATAGGCTGACTGAATTAGCCAAAAAATCACTGAAGACATGACAGGTATAAAAGTCGTGTTACACCTCCCTAGCCTTATGTTCTGAAACCCATAAAGAAGAATTTGGGTAAAGTAACAGCGAAGTTTTGAGTCTGAACGGGGAACTTTTTCAAAATTCTTCGTTGTGGGTTTCAGAACACGAGGCGTGGTAAATGTAACGCGACTTTTTCTTTGACTGTACGTGTAATGTACAGTAATCAATCACCAGGAACCCCGGTAAGAGACAAAGGACCGGTGAAAATAAATGCCAAACAACTTTTCTAGGTATGGGACAGATGTGTGAGGACCAAGTAGCCTCTTGAGAAGTTTGGTTTGAGTACCATGAATCGACTCCAGGTATGACCCAGGTGTAAGTTGAAATATTACATGTGTAAAAACAGGGGGGTGGGGGTGCCTGTAGGGCCTCGACGTAAGGCGTAAATCTGGGAGGAAGCGAGCAGGAAGGGAGGCGAGCGGCGGTGTGACTGACCCCTGGATGGAGCCAGAGGAGGAGGGGGGACTTCATGGAACAATCCCCTCCCCCCACCACCGCCACTCACCACCACTACAGTCTCACAATTCTCAGTCTCACTCTTTTATCACTAAATTATTTCCTCTTCTTGGTGAAACACTATGTACTGCACTGTACTATGTTACCAATGTTTTGTCAATAAAACCCCAGTGTTTGCTGGTAGGCGTCTCCCAGTTTAAAGGTCCGCGGAATGACTCTGGCCATGGGCCAATCCTAGGCTAGATACACTGGTCCTTGACCACAAGTTGGTTCACTTTATATATATATATATATATATATATATATATATATATATATATATATATACTCCCTCTTTCGTGTTTCCTTAAATTATTGTATTTTCATCCATCCTTCCCTCTCTTATCCACTATATACATCACTATATGTTTACTTACCTTCCAATTCACTCATCACGACATTCTCACCCACCTCATTCATCCACTTCACCATATTCCCCAGTTCCTCACCCATTCATCCACCGACTTACACCACCAAACATCCACAAAACAGTTTAACTTCTAAAAAACACTAAAATTTATGTAAAACAACAACATTTAAACGATGATTAAATTATTAAAAACTTTAATTAAAACACTTAAGGTTCCATAAACAAATTTAAATATTCAGAAAACCAATGACACTTCTCAACACGAGGACAACCAAAGATACACACACACATTATAAGACCACTGCACAAACACTCACCCACAGACAACACGCAAATTCACACACTCACGCAAACCCACCACAACACACTCACGCAAACACAGAAAGCACCCCTAGACTCATCCTAACACACACATACAAGAATCTCTGAATCCCTGGGAACCACATGCTTCTCCCGTGACGTCACCACATGAACAACAACAACAATAACAACTTTGTTCTCAGTCGTCATAAAACTAATTACTTCGCGGATGACTCACCAGTCGCGCCGGCCCTACGACGACACCACGACTCCCACGCCAACCACCACCACCACCATCACTACAATACCACACCAACCACCACCAGCATCACTACAATACCACGCCAACCACCACCAGCATCACTACAACACTACACCAACCACCATCAGCATCACTACAACACCACGCCTACCACCACCACCAGCATCACTACAACACCACGCCAACCACCACCACCACTACAATACCACGCCCACCACCACTACAACACCACACCAACCACCAGCACTACAACACCACCACAACCACTACAACACCACATCAACCACCACCAGCATCACTAAAACACCACCACCAGCCACCACCACCACCACCACCAGCATCACTACAACACACCACCACCAACCACCACCACACACCAACACCACAACCACCACCAGCATCACACACCACACCAGCATCACCACCAGCACAGCACCCACCACCAGCATCACTACCACACCACACCACCACCACACCACCACCAGCATCACCAACACCACACAACCCACCACAACACACACCAGCATCACTGCAACACCACACCACCAGCATCACTACAACACCACACCAACCACCACCACACCACACCACACCACCACCAGCATCACTGCAACACCACACCAACCACCAGCATCACAACACCACACCAACCACCAGCATCCACACAACACCACACCAACCACCACCAGCATCACTACAACACCACACCAACCACCACCACCACTACAACACCACACCAACCACCACCAGCATCACTGCACACACACCAACCACCAGCATCGCTACAACACCACACCAACCACCAGCATCACTACAACACCACTTCACTACAACACCACACCAACCACCACACCATACCAACCACCACCACCACCACAACACCACAACCCACCACCAACCACCACCACCACCACAACACACAACACCACCCACCACCAGCATCACTACACACCACACCAACCACCACCACCACCACCACCAGCATCACTGCAACACCACACCAACCACCGGCATCGCTACAACACCACACCAGCATCACTACAACACCACACCAACCACCAGCATCACTACAACACCACACCAACCACCACCACAATACCAAAAAGTAGTAAAAATTATATCTATGGTAATACAACTTGACGATTACCCCCCAGGTAGCGTCAGGGTGTTTAATAATCAGGTAAAATAAGCTGGGGTGCCTAATCTCCTTGTGCTCCGAAACGATAACTTTAGGTTCGTGACAAGAAATATCATTTACGTATAGATACAGTAACAATATATCAGAATTTCACTATACTCCTTACGCAGTAAAAAAGAAAACGTATGAAATTCAGTACAGTATATTTGAATTTCATGGAAAATACTAAACTGGCAGACAGTAATATCATTATCACAAGATGTTTTATTACGGAATAAGTTACCAATCATTTATCAAATTTATGCAAACTAAAAGTCCATATATAATTATTAAGCAACTCGGGTAACTTTTTATAAGTTTTCAAATAAACAAACTAAGACAATGTAAATTACCAAGCGATGAATGTGTCAACCTTTTATAGGAGAAAAAGTGGAAACGTTCCGTTATTAAGCTAATATGATAAGTGTCTGGATGCCATCTTAACGGTACAACCGACCCCCCCCCCACGGAAAAATGTATATTAAATCTATTCTCTCACACTGTATTTGTTATTAATTCCCATAACTTAAACATGTGTGTGTGTGTGTGAGATATGGACTTAATTCATAATGCAAATTGGTCTAGTTCTATAACGTTATTGTGCAAATTTATGACTTTAAATTAAACCATTTTGTCTCATTGTAAGCTGATAAAAAAAGTAACTCCAGATCCGCAGTCAACCAGCTTTTAATGACAATTCAGACTTAATCAACATGGAATTT